GATCATGGAGCCCAGGAAAATGAAATCTGTCACTGCCTCCATATCTTCCCCTTCAATTTCCCAGGAGGTGATGGAACCAGTGGCCATGATCTTAGTTTTTTTGATGTTGAGTTTCAGACCGTATTTTGCACTCTCTTCTTTCACCCTCATTACAAGGTTCTTTAATTCCTCCTCACTTTCTGCCATCATTCTCTAGACTAAAGAGCCCCAAACTCTGTAGCCTTTCCTCATAAGGGAGGTGTCCCAGTCATCATTTTAGTCCCTCTCTTCTGCACCTTTTCCAGTTCCACCATGTCTTTTTTGAGATATGGTGACCAGAACTGTATGCAATACTTCAGGTGCGACCTTGCCAGAGTTTTGTACAATGGCATTATAATGTTGGCTGTTTTATTTTCAGTCCTGTTTGGGGGTTCAGTTCCTCACTGTGCTTCTTTGACAGGGGCAGGACTTGATGATCCATAGTTTCCCTTCCAGCTCTGCAGTTCTCCTCCTCCTAAATATTATTAGTGTTCTTTGAAGGCACTTGGGAGCACTGATCAGCTTGTAAATAAAGGATGCACTCTCTGCATGCCTTGTGTTAAAGGTAGATTGTAGCTCCCCTCCTCATACCATGTAGTCGCAGCTCAGCAGCACAGAGATCCCCAAAGAAGTTGGTGTTTGTCTCTAAACAAAGGCACATGGGAGCAGGTACCTTTTCCCCAAAAGAATTAGTGCCTCCAGGAGGCTTCTGGAAATTGCAGTCATCTTAAAAACAAAGCGCACACTCTCAACAGGCTTTGTTTTAATGTCAACTTTAATGCTTCTTTTGCAGTTGCTGCTGCTGATTGGAGACTGCATAACAAGTAGTTTTTAAGCACCCTGTATAACCCCTGGATTAGGCTCCCTATGTTATGAAAAGTAATAACACACCAATACAGAGCCTTATGTAACTTGACCATTTCTCATTATTCAATAGATTGGTCCAGAACAATTAAGTAATGATTTGCCTTAGAGTTTTTAGCTAAACTCTTGAGTGTTGCTCTTGGTTTTGCTCCATGCATGTTTCTTGAGAACGTAATCATAGTCTTCACTGTTCAGTGTTCATTTTGTGTTTTTTGCAGTTGGGGTCTGACATTATCTTCTGAAAAGCACCATTGGTAAGTGATTAGAAATATCTCCTCTTGCTGCCAGCCCCTACAACTTTGTTATATTTAGACACTTGTGGCTATTTTTCATCTGCATATGATGATGTTAGCTAAATGAGGAACTGTCATATAATTATATTCTGTAATAGTTCCTCACTCTAAGATGGTATTGCAGGGCTTTGTATCAGTGACTGGACAGCGTGACTCATTATTCAGTCAAATCCACTGTTTTGTAAAAATAATTAGTTTGTTCTAATATAACCTGTGATTTACACACACACACACACACACACACACACACAGAGAGAGAGAGAGAGAGAGAGAGAGAGCTTTTGTGTGTTTAATTGAATAAAAAAATTCAAAAAATACAGCATACATATTGGTCTTCAATTTCAGCCTCTTAACAATCTAGTGACACAGGCAGCCTGTTCTCTAGGATGGTGTCTCATATGGAAGTGGTAGGAAGAGCACACACACATGCACTCACCCCAAGACTATGGGTGCCTGATGAGATAGAGTAAGTGAAAGACAGTGAATTTTCCAAAGAGAGTCAAAGATGAACAGATATCTCTAAACAGAAACTTACAATTCAGGTCTAAGAATTAACTGAAGTTTACTGGGCTTTTTTTTAAACTCCCCTCCTAAGAAATTCCAAAATTGAAAATTCATAGACTTTAACAGTACTAAGGTCTGTCTACTCAGCAGACTGAGTAGTGCATGGCCAGGTTAAATATGCATATATATCTACCCCACAGTGTTTGATTTTGCTTCTGTTTTTTTCCCTGCAAGTAAGAATGAGCTTGTGGTTGCTAAAAATTAGGATACCAGCAAACTAGTTGCAATCTGTTTGGCACTGCATGCGATATAATACATTGTCAGGACAAGATTTAAATTGCTATATGTTTTCTAGGCATTTATGTTGTGATGGACAGGATTCTCAGTTGGAATGGCTGAGCAGCATTTTCATTGCACAGGTATTACTTTTTTCTGTTATCATGACAAAATTGCTCTGGGCTATAAAAAATTAATTTAGATTTTAAAGTATGTGTAATATATGTTTACATGTTTCTCTGTCTGTTTGTGTGTAAATATCAGTTAGGCAAAAAATGTATCTGCCCATTCAAAATGCAGTATACACTACAATCTGCCCATTAAAAAATTCCTTCCTAAATAGGAGATAATATCTGATCCAACAAACCACGGTCAGCTGAGATATATTTCTTCATAACCTTGTTTTATGTAACACACTCCTTTTAATATGAGTCTTTTAATTTTTTTTCCAAGTAGAATAGACTCCACTTCCATTTCCACAGATTGTGGATAAATACAGAATCTTGTGGGCATCTTAAAGATTTAACACATGTTTTCCTATTTGTTTTTTTCTGATCAAGCATTCTAACCCATGTGTTTGACCAATATTTATGTATTGTTGGAGCAACTGAAGCTCCTAGTTTTATAGCTAATGCAAAATGAATATAACACAACCTTGTTGTTTTAGGTTAGTAAAATTTTGGGAGTCATAATCAGTCTTAGTAACTTGGTGAACAAGAGAACTTGTGTGTGTCATATTTCAATCAAAAGCAGGTCTTCTCAGAACAATATCCTATGTGCTTCTTTAAACACAGCACCTGTTACAGTTTCTATGGAAACAGTCATCAAGTAAGATGGGGAAAAATCTCCAGATCTGACACTACTTCATTCCGAGTAGTGTAAGAATGAATAGGTTCACAAACTACGGGTAGTGGTAGTGCAAAAGTTGCTTAATGGCTCTGTTCAAGTACCATTGACACAAGAGAGAACCTGTTAAAACTCCAGAGGGAATTGTATGAAATGTGAGTCAGCTATCACACTAACAATCTGAAATATAGCTCTAGAATCTGTAAATTTTACATATTCCAAGAAGATGAAAAAGCATTTTTTCAAAGTATCCTTTTTCTTCTCATCTTGGTGCCACTTTAACTCTTTTTTCAAAGTATCCTTTTTCTTCTCATCTGGATAAGACTTCTATTTTTTTCCAGAAATTTCTTGCCCTTAGTAGATTTCTTGAGTATATCTACACTACACATTTATATCAGTTTGGTGCCACTTTGACTCTATTCTATGGAATCCTGGGATTTGTAGTTTGTTGTGGCATTGAGAAGTCTCTAAGAAGAGTGTAACACGCCTTTTAGCAGAGCATTCTAAGTACATTACCTATTTATAATTCTGTAATTTTATAAGATATACCCAGAAGTGTAAAGGGGGTATCAAACTGATATACCTGACTAGTGTAGATACATTCCTACATTTCCTAATTTGCAAATTAACAGTGCTGGCATCGTTTAAAACTCAGCTGTAACTTTCCTAATGTGCAAAATATCTTTTAGCTGAACTTCTACTGTGGTTTTTAATAACAGCTATATCATTCCTTTTTTATTCCTGTCCCCTATTTGTTTTGGGTTGTGAGTAGGAATGTGCCATTCATTTTTGTGGTGTTATGGACCCTATAATTCTCCATTCCCATTTGACAGACAGATACGTACAGACACCTAAATGTGACTCACCTGGGAGAAAGGCCTAAGCTGGAAAGCTTCATCACTAGAGATGGGGAGATGGGGTCTTGGTTTGTGAACCATGAACATCACCCTGTGAACTGACAAACCATGGATCAGTTCATTGGGGGTGGGGGTGGACAGCCAATGACTATCTAAGAAAATTGAAAAGCTGAGCCCTGATCCCTTTGCCGCCTTCTCACTGCCCCCGCCATCTCCTTACCTCAGCTGCCACTGCTGCCCACACTGTCACGGTCTCTGCGACCATGGCTGCAGCCACCGCCATCTTTGCAAACATGGCACTAAAACACATGCACATGTGTGCACACACACACACACACACACACACACACAGAGTCTAGTGAAAATTCCCAGTTTCCTCCATATCCCCCAAGCCTATTTAGATAGATTAGGAACACTTTCACTCTTACCTCTTGGGAATGATTTATTCTGAACCAGATTCTCCTCAGCCCATCAACTACCTGCTCTGGTTAGTCATTTTGGGGAATATTTTGCCATGTTTTGAAGTTCTCTCCAGCACCTCTTAGACACCGTAGCTCCACTTTAAATATGTTGTAAATTTGTTAAGCTTCTCTGTAATTATTTTTCTATTAAGCATTGGTTGAAACGGGCCCTACATACATATGAATATACCAGATAGGAAGGGCACCCTCCGCTCAAAGGGGAATAGGAGCCAAATTAATTAGAGTTCCTGCCCTCATGAAGGAAACTCAGTGCATATGACTGATACCAGTCATACGTGGGAAGAGAGCATGGCAGATATCCACATCTTTATCTGGAGATGATGCCAATTGTCTTATACTCAATAACTGCTTCATGTGGGGCATTATCTGCTGCAGAATTTGCCCTTCCATAGAAGCTTGATTGGCACCAAAACTGGCTACCTTTTGGCAGTAAATTGAAAGTTGGCTCTTCATTACAGCTTTAGGGAACTAGTAACCATTAAAAGGTTTTGGTGTCTTTCTTAATGTAAGTGGTTTTAAAGCAGGTTAAGTTACTATGAATTAAATTAAATTAAACTTTTTACTGCTTAAATTGTTTCATTTTTTGTAACCCACTCAAAGATATTTTGGTTTTGGGTGGGGGTATAAATATTTTAATAATTACAAATAAACTAAGTGATTCTTATTATCAAATGATGTATATTTCTGCCTGTTGTGTGTTTGAAAATTTAGCAATGCTCTAAAGTTGACTATTTTTAATTTCACATATGAAATTACTTGTGATTTGTAACAGTAATGTTTATGACATAAAACAAACCTTATTTTACAGCACAGTAATATCTGTCCGCCAGATGGAAAGATCAGAAAGCAATCTATTACAAAAAATCCCAAAATTGGTGGCTTGCCTTTAATACCAATTCAGCATGAAAGAAACATTCCAAAAGCTAAAGTCAACTCATCAGAGGTAGGCTGCTGACTAAATTTGGGTCCCAGCATTTATCAGGGCAATCCTGCCTGCTACTATAGAAAGCACTGTTATTGAATCCTCCAAGATGTTGAAAGCCTTGCTGGTAGGAGCCCAGTGTAGCAACAGAGAGGTGTTGTTTTTCATTTCTATGTTGATGTTTTGTTCTATTTCATTTTTGGTATAACAATGGAAGGGATTTTTTTTCTCATCCGCTTCTTCGGGAATGGCAGAATTTCCCATCCCATGTTTGGGCTCAATCTAAATACCAGGAGGGTTTGGGATCTTGTGGTTCTTTTTCGTGGCCTCTGTGAATCACATCCTGCGTGTTCTGTGCCTTCGCAGAGCCTTTTCAGAATATCCTAGAGCTTCTGTGGTAGCAAAAAATACATCAGAATAGACCTCTACCCCTCTGTGTAAGTACCTTGGCACCAAGACTCTCCCTTCAGTTTCTTTCAACCACTGCATTGAAGAGCCTAGTACTTCTAGCTTCTGTGAGTTAAAAGCGAAAGAGAGTTTTTTACTCTTGTTTTCTTATTTTTTTCTTTTTATTACTGATACAAAAATTATCATAATACAAATTGTTCTCTGGGTTTTTTTTGTGTGTGTGTCCCTCAGCCCCCAGCCTTCACCCCCCTCTCACCCTCTCCATTTTTACTTTTCCTTTCTTTAATTGTTCATGGCCCCTTTGGGCCCCTTCAAGCACTGCGTGGTTTGCAATAATAAAATATCACTGTCGGACAGCCACGCAAAGTGCCTTTTTTGTCTAGGCGGGGCACATCAATGTTCTCATTGTAAAAATTTCAAAGTCGAGAATCCTCCGTTCTCACCTTTCCAGACTTAAACTTCTTCTTTGAGAACAGTCTTTACAACCTGTAAAGCCCATGGCTCAGCCTCCGTGTAAGGCTACTTCACAAGCTAAAACCATGGAAAGTTCTCATTGTAAAAATTTCAAAGTCGAGAGTCCTCTGTTCTCACCTTTCCAGACTTAAACTCCTTCTTTGAGAACGAACAGTCTTTACAACCTGTAAAGCCCATGGCTCAGCCTCCGTGTAAGGCTACTTCACAAGCTAAAACCATGGAAAAAGCCATTGCAGAATCATCTAAACTGTGCCCTTCAGCCACACCATCTCACTCTGATGCCCCTTCAACTTCGTCAAAGACTTCTAAGGGACACAGACCCAAGCATTCGACATCAAAAACTTTGACATCAAAGTCCTCTGGAAAGCTGTCTCCCAAGATCTCCTCGGTTCCAGATCCTCCTCAACCCAAGAGGTCTAAACAAACCAAAACTAAAGCCCCTGTGACCGCTCCGCAGCAGCTCCCTGAATCTGGCGATTTGATTTGTGTTGGCTCACCTCCTGATGACAAAGGAATCCCATCTCACCAGCTGACTTCTCAGTCGCCAGAACCGGATGAGCAAGCAGATCATCTTACTTCCTTGCCTGATAGTCCCCAGCAGTCTATCTTTCCTAGTAACCCGTCCATGGATGCTTCACCGGAGAGAGTGGAATCGGAGCCTCAGCTGGACACGGTGCCCTATCCTGTACCTTCGGGCCTGCCATGATGGCCGCCAGCATGCTACCATGCACATCAAGCTTATGAGGCAATTCCGCCAGTGCACACAGGCCAAAGCCGTGCTCAGCACTCTCATTGGGTAGCCATTTGCTCCAATCAGTGCTTTACTAACCAATCTGCCAGAGGTGCTCAATGGTTGTTTTGTCTGGTCCCATAGTAGTATTGCACCAGAAACCTCCATCTCGACAGCCTTCAGTGTTGAAGCGAGCTTACCAGCCAGATCCACATGGTCATCAGACAGCTTTCTACCAGCCACCTGAAAAGCTCAAGGCACTTGAGAGACATGCTTCCAGTTGTGAAGCATTTGCAGCCCCTGTCAGCCCGCTCCTCAAAATGATGGAGACCGTTCCTCCCACTCAGTGTCTCGGCCTTGATCTATTTGGCTATCCTGCCTACCAACAACGCCCCCAATGTAACCAATTGAAGTGACCCTACAATTCTTACCAGAGGTTCTAACATGATCCCCAATGTCAGGCCCCCTACATGCCCAATTTCAAACAACAATACAAACCTAAACTCTGCCAACTACCTATCCAGAGGCGCAATGGTCGCAAACCCAAACATCATGTTTGACATCTTCCCGACCGAGATCACAAATCAGCACTCCCGCCCTTTTCTGTGGAAACACTTCTCTGGGAATCCATCACCATCAATGCCTGGGTTCTGTCCTTCATCCAAAATGGATACCACATTTGTTTCCATCAGCTCTTTCCGCCACATCACCTTGTTACACCGCCGTCTCAAACTCCTTACAAGAAGAAATAGAAAATTTACTTCTCAAAGGTGCCATAGAACCGATATAGCAAAAAGGCTTTTTCTCTCATTATTTCACTATCCCCAAAAAGGATGGCTGTTTTCATCCTATCCTAGACCTCAGAGAGCTCAACCAATATTTCATCATCACCAAATTTCATATGGTGACCCTCAAATCAGTTGTGCCCCTCCTCAGAAAAAATGACTGGTTCACAGGCATAGATATACAAGACACGTACTTCTACATCTCCATCCACCCCTTGCACAGACAGTTTCTTTGATTCCGGCTTGGATCCTGGGCCTATCAAAAGACTTCCCTTTGGGACTGCAACAGCTCCGAGAGTCTTCATCAAGTGTATGGCCCTGGTGGCTGCTTTCCTCAGATTTCAAAAGATCCTTATCTTCCCATACAGAGACGATTGGCTCCTGGTGGCTCATTCCTGTCACAGGGCTCGCCAAGACACCCCATTTTACCTTATCCCTCCGTCACGATCTTGGTCTCACAGTCAACATGCAAAAATCCAAAGTGAGCCCTACAAAGGTTGTTCATTATATCGGGGCTCACATAGACTCTATCCAACCCTGTGTATTCCTTCCCCCAGACAAGCAACAGAGCCTTATCTCTTTGCTGCACGACTTCACTCCTCATGTCCTGGTACCTTCCCTCCTGGTCCAACGTGTGTTGGTCACCACGGCTTCTGTGACCTCAGTTGTACAACACGTACATCTGAAGATGAGGTCCCTACAATCATGGTTTCTTGCTCTCTTAGATCCATTGACGGACCCTCCTTACACTGTTGAGAGTCACCCCGAACTTGCCTCTCAACTCCAATGGTGTTTCATCCCAAACCTTTCAGTAGGACCTACTTTCCGGCAACCACACCATCAAATATAGGTCACAACCGACACCAGCCTTATGGGCTGGGGAGCGCATTGTGGCTCTCTCAACATCCATGCCAATTGGTCCTGCAGAGAATGTTCCCGCCACATACATGAGTTGGAACTACTGGCAGTAATAAAGGCATGCAAAGCCTTCAGGAACATCCTGGCTGGCAAAATGGTGCATCCTGTGTACTACAAGGTGGCACCCACTCCCCAAGCCTCCTCTATTTAGCGGTCAACCTATGGTAATGGTGTCTTTCACATCACATCTGCCTGACAGCTCTACACATTGCAGGCCAAGACAATGACCTGGCAGACCTCCTCAGCCCTACAAACTC